TGTGTGTGAATGTTGTGTGTATGTGTATTGTGAGTCCCAGCCCACGGACCAAAGCTCCCAGGGACACAGCAAAGCTTCAGGGACACAGCAGTAACAGACAGCTGAAGTCAGAATTCAGGGACTATTTCGGTCAATGCTCTTGAAGGGACCCACAGCCAAATCCCTGCTCTGCCCACCTTGTGCCTCTCTGGCATGGGCTCCATGCCAGACGGCCACCACTCGCTGGGAGTGGGACCTGAGCCAGTTCCTGGACCTTCCTGGGCTCAGCTTGCCCAGCTGTGAAATGGGGCCGCCAGGGTGGAAGGGGTGGAGGTGTTGCTGGATGTGGAAGTTTAGAGTATCGTGTGCACGTGGTGAGTGTTCAGAAAAGGTGTTTCCTCTGTGTTCTCTCCCCACGCCCTTCGACCCAGGCATTCAGAATGGCTGCTGCCGAGTGACATGCCAAGACCTCTCCGGGCCTGGCTGGCGTGGCTACACCCCCCGAGGTCCTCCCTCCTAGAGCCTGCCTGTCTAGGACCCATCGCCCTCGGCTCTGCCCCGAAAGCCCCACCTCCTGGTTTTACATTCATATCTGATTCTACTTCATCTGACTCCCAGCTCTTATCACCCTGTAACCTTAGCCCAGTTACACAGCTGCCCTGTGACTCAGGGTCCTCAGCTGTGAAATGGGCTGATATTAAATCCCTTCCCGAGATATTGTCCGAAGGAAGGAGTCCAAGCAGGTAAGGTCCTCACCTGTCCTGTGTCAGGTGCCCAGGAGTGTCCGCAGCTGAGGCTGGACAGTGGGCGGGGCCTTACTTTCTAAGGGTGGACATCTCGCTTCCTGCCCTCTGCTTCCAGGCACTGAGCCTGCTGCAGACAAGACGCTGGTGATCGCATGGAGGGCGAGACGGAGGATGGAACACAGCCTGCCCTCTGTAGTCAGGGTCCCACCTCCGTGGGCTCAACCAACCGCAGATTGGAAACATCCCCCCAAAGTTACAGTGCCGCTGATGTGTACGTCCTAGTCACCTGAATGATGGTTATGTCTGTACTGAACACTACGGCCTTTCAGTCTTGTCATTATTCCCTAAATAACACAGTATAACAACTATTTACACCACATGGACACTGTATTAGGTATGGTAAGTAAACTGGAGATGATTTAAAGCATACAGGAGGGTGAGGGAAGGTTATATGCAAACACTACGCCATCCTATATAATAAAAGACTAAACGGCAGAATGACCAGTCGCTATGATGTGCACTGACCACCAGGGGGCAGACGCTCAACGCAGGAGCTGCCCCCTGGTGGTCAGTGAGCTCCCACAGCAGGAGCACCACTCAGCCAGAAGCCTGGTTCATGGCTGGCAAGTACAGTAGCGGTGGCAGCGCTAAGGATGTTCAACTGCCAGCTTACAGGGAGAGGGCTGAAGGCATCAGTCAGACACCCCCCGAGGGCTCCCGGACTGTGTGCGAGAGGGTGCAGGCCGGGCTGAGGGACCACCCCCCAAGTGCACGAATTTCATGCACCAGGCCTCTAGTTTCATAAAAAGGACTGGGGCATCCACAGATGTGGGTGTCGGAGGGAGTCCTAAACAAATCCCTGAGGATACCCAGGGACGACTGTCTTTTTCTGCAGTAAGAGCAGCTTGAACTGATTCATTGACGGAACAGAATCGCACTGAGGACAGAACACCATTCTCCATCACTGTCTGTAAACTCACCCTCTGGGTCTCAGCTCAGATGCCATGCCTCCTAACCCCCCACCCGTGCTGGGCACCTTCTCTCCCTGGGCCTCCCTGGCTCCCCCGACCACCACTCCTGCTTGTCTGAACCATCAGAGGGGGGAGGAGGACAGGGGGAGCCATCTCCCAGAGCCCCCGCCCCTGATGTCCCCCTGTGCCCACCACCCCTCACCACCAGCCCCAGGGGCAGAGGGTACCTGCTGTGGAGACAGGGAAGGAAAAAAGGGCCACCGCCCAGCAAGGTCTCCTTACATGAGCACAGTCATACCGCCAGAAGGTACTGTCGGCCGCAGGACACTGGCCACAGGGTTGGAGCACCGATGGCCAAAGTCACCAGGATGGGATGCCAAGCCCCGTGGCCTCGGGCCAGGCAGTAACAGGCACGCACTGCCACCCACACTGTGACCCGAGCCCTCCGTGGGGGGATGGAGGCCCACGTCTCTGTTTACCTGCTTTCTCCTCCCATCTGGCTTCCTGCTCCTCGGCCAGGCCCCCATGGGGAGTCCCGGGGGGCTGGGGCCCCATGTGAGGGGCGCTGAATCGGGCTCCTCCCGGGAGTCCATGCTCCGCTTCCCGCAGTGCCCAGGGCATCTCCGAGGGCCAGGAGGCAGAGTCCATGGGAGGGGCGGCCCGGCCGGAAGTGTGGCAATTCTCTCTTGTTTGAACAGGAAATGGGCAGTGATTTTTTTTCCCCTGATCCCAAGTCAGAACCGCAACTGGAGCAACAAGGGAAACCTGTCTTCTCAAGGATCACCCCTGGGTGTGGGTTTTCCTTTTTAAGGAGGTCAGAGCAGGGAGGGAGAGACCAGCATAAAGCCCGGGCGGCTCCCTCAGGCAGGGGTGGGAACGTCCGCCCGCAGGCGCCGGAGGCCCGAGAAATCAGTTGGTCCGGCCCTGCCAAGGCGTTAGGGGTGGGCGAATGAAGTGTTTGGCAAATAGAGCAGGCTAATGTCTAAGTGGATACTTTTGTATGGCCTGGCCGGCGAATGCCGTTTTAAATATCCAAGTGGCCTTTGGCAGGAAAAAGGTTCCCCACCCCTGCCTTGAGGGTTGGGACGGATGGACTTCGCAGTAGAAGCCTGGTGGGAAGCCAAGCCTGACTCCAGCCCCTTTTTTCCTCTTTCAATGCTATTGGCACGTATGGAACACACTGCCAATCGCCACTTTGCTGCTGTGCGTCCTCAGGCAAGTCGCTTTGCTTCTCTGAGTTACCATGTGTCCAAGTGCCAAAGGGGAGGCCGCTCCTGCCCTGACTGTCCTGCAGAGTTATTCAGGGGCTCGGAGAGAAACCACGGAGCCCATGCACAGATGGGCATGGCTGCCTGCAGCTCTGGACCTGCAGGAAGCAGAGAATCGGCCATGGGGTCATTACCCACCCTGCTCACTCAGCATGGGCTGCGGAGGTGCCTCCCTCGTGCCCGCCCCCTCAGGGGCTCAGGGGCGGCGTTCCGGCGACCAGACCCCTCATGCCCACGAGGACGGGGTGAGAGTTAATTTGCCTTGTGATCAACCTGCCCCAAGTCAGAGAAGCACCTTTAAGCCCTGATCAGGACAGGCCGCCTTGACCCTGTGCTCCCAGAGGCAGAGCAGATGCTGTTTGGGGGACGAAGAACCCCCGGAGGCCAGGGCAGCCTCAAGCCCACAGACAAGAAGCCAGCAGACTGGGCTAAATGGAAAGCACATATTGAGATCAGACGTGGAGCCCCGCAGACGCACTGGGAGCGTGCCGTGTCACACGCATGTGCGAACGTCCAGCCCACGACGCACAACATGGGGAAGCAGCCGCTCAGTGGGGAACCAGGATTCCAGAGAGACAAGCCAGCCCTCACCGTCAGGCTAGCGATTCCCTGAGCATATGAAACAGTGCAATGGCCATTCTGCATATTAATCCTGCAAGGAGACTTGGGCACTCGGGGAGAAGCAGCTCTTCTGGAATCGATTTGCAGCCCGCCCTGCCCCCTCCACACGCCCTCTCCCCCATCTAGGCAGAGCTGTGGTCCAGAGCAGGACGCTGACATAGACACTCTCAGCTATAACATGTAATACGATGGCTGAGAATTCCCCGTGGAGACACAGAGGAAGTACTGAGCCAGCCTGGGGCTGAATCATGGAAGACTTCCTGGAAGAGGTGGCTCCTGGACCACTAAACCTGGGGAGTATGCTGGCCAAGAAGAGTGTGGTGTGGGAGGGCACTGAGCCAAGGCCCAGGGTATTAGGGGAAGGGAAATAGTCGGGTGTGGCTGGGGCCTACGGAGGGAGGCAAGCACCTCACACCAGTGCCCGCACAGGGGAGCCGTGACTCAACCCAATACAAGCCCTGAGAAAAGCCTACGGTGTCCACCTGGAGGGAGTGTCTATAGCAGGACTCTGATGGCCCAGGCAGTGGCCCTCCCCTTCACACCTGCGAGGTGAGGATAATGGCGTCCGGCCTGCCCAGTTCACACTTCCCTGGCCGTCTGGCCAATATGCGTGTTGATCTTTGTCCTGCTAAGTAAAGGTTTCATATAAGTGTGGACATTTTCTCCTCTGAGTCCTGGTAGCTCCCACACCCATCACAGGAGACCAGGCACACACGGGTGGAGGTATGAGACCGGCTCCACCTTGAACTGGCTACATAGCCTTGGACAAGTGGCCTCAGCCCTTGCCGAGCCTCGCTTCATCGCCTGTGAAATCCGGGTGGCGATGCCTTCACTCTAGTGTGGCCGGGAGAAGCGAATGAGAGAACCCCGTGTGTGAAGGTCCAGCACAGAGAGGGTGCTGACCGGCTCCTGGTTTTTGCACCTGGTTTGGAGAGAGGGCCCAGGGAGTCCTGAAGAGGGGGAGAGAGGCTTTCTCAGTGCTGAGGACTTCCTGGAGGAGGGGGCGGTGACCTGGGCCTGTGGTGGGTGGGGGACCGGTTACAGTGTATCCCTCTCCACATCAATGTCCCCTTGATCTAGAGAAATGACCTCTGGAATGGAGATACCTCCCCGCTCCAAATCCGGAAGGTCACCTGCAGATAGGATTTTTATCAACCGCAGTACAAGCACCTGAGGCCCGTGCCTCACCGCATACACTTCATGGTACTTCCCACGTCACCCTGCGTGCAGCCTCTGTCCCCTGGCCTGACCCCCCGTAGCCTGCATGTCCCCGGGGCGGGAGGGGCAAGGAGGGACAGCCCCGGAGTCCCAGGACTGACCGATTTCTTTTCCTCCAAATCGCTTTCTTTGTTAGCGGCCGGGTCCTTGTCACTGAGCTTCATGGCTTCTTTCTCAGGTTTGGGACTGGGCTTTTTTTGTTCCTGAGGAAGAAGAAAAAGGAAGCAGCCATTAGACTCCTGCTGCCAGTGATAGGTAACTCAGGGGAGCCGGCGAGGAGCGCTGGTGGAGACACCCGCACGGGGGACCCCTGCTCCTGGGCGCCCCCTGCTCCTCTCTGGCCATCTCACAGTTTCTCCATTTGTGAGATGGGTGGGTTGACTACGTCTGTGTCTGGAATGCTGGCTGGATGGCTTTTAAATACAGGCCTCTCCCAGAACATTCTCGTCCACACGGTCATTCTCGCACTGGGCACATCTTGTGAACACTAGACTTCCTGTCCCCAAGATGTGAAAGTAAAAGCCGGGGAAGTTAAAACGAAGTGGTCCCTCCGCTGTTCAACTGGAAACAGTTACCCAAATGCCACCTGGATCCCTGGCACGACAGAGCTAAGGAATGGTGCAGCTGCTCTGGAGATTGGAAATGTTTAGGCCCTTTGGCCCAACTACTCCATTTGTAGAAACTCATCCTGAAACAGTAAACAATGTGCACCAAGATTTCAGCCAGAAATGGCATTGAAACATTTTTTTTTTTTCATGTTAGAAAAAATGGTATTCACAATAGGAAAAAGATATGGAAGAGGGAAGTTTAAATAAATGACGGTACCTCCCCAGGATAAAAATGCACGGAGCACTTTAAACCTGACGTTAGAGAACGTTACTGTCCTGAGGAAATACTCAGGATTACTCTCACTTGACAAGAAGGGGAAGATCTATGAAATAATGTACATTAGTCAACAATAAAAATAGATGCACTTCCTAATAGCCATTCTTTTTAAAACATATATTTTATTGATTTCAGAGAAGAAGGGAGAGGGAGAGAGCGAGATAGAAACATCAATGAGGAGAGAGAAACAGGGATCAGCTGCCTCCTGCACACCCCCTACTGGGGATGGAGCCCACAACTGGGCATGTGTCCTGACCGGGAATCGAACCGTGTCCTCCTGGTTCATACATTGATGTTCAACCAGTGAACCACACTGGCCGGGCTGAATAGCCACTCCTAAAACAACATCTGTACTTAAACTATGCCCATGCGATTTTTAAATGCCAAATTAAATTTAAAACAAAATATTTATTCATTCAGTTATTTAACAAATATTTACTAAGCCCCTAGCATCCAGGAGATGGGGATGCAGTCTCGAGAAGGCAGCCCTTGCCCTGCCTGCATGGAGCTTACATGCTAGGAGAGACTGTTGGGAAGGGGGTGCAGACGGCTCACGGCAAGCAGATGGCTCACAGGCACACAGACGGCTCATGGGCACGCAAACAGCTCACGGCAAGCAGATGGCTCACAGGCACACAGGTGTGAGCGGCATGTCCCAGGCAGGATCCTGCCTGGGCTACAGACCAGCAGAGGACAGGTCACAGCTGTACATGCTCAGAAAATAAACATCCTTGAAGCAGCTGTTCCCACTTGGCCGTGATAGTTTAGCCAATTATCCTCTTAGGCAGGGGTCCTCAAACTTTTTAAACAGCGGGCCAGTTCACTGTCCCTCAGACCGTTGGAGGGCCAGACTATAGTTTAAAAAAAAACAAAACTATGAACAAATTCCTATGCACACTGCACATATCTTATTTTGAAGTAAAAAAACAAAACGGGAACAAATACAATATTTGTATTTGCATGTGGCCCGCGGGCCGCAGTTTGAGGATCCCTGCTCTTAGGTATCCGTTTTTCTACAGTTTTCCAGTTTTCTACACTGGGGGAAAACAAAACAAAGACACCCACCTCTACAACTAGAAAAATGAGTTTTTACATTTTCTTTAAATTAAAAAAATTTTTTTTGAAGAATTAAGCCCTTATGTTTTCAAGTAGCCAAAAGGATTTACAAGGTAAAATTCTGCAAGAATACCGCTCTTACAGAATCAGGAGCTCCGAGGCCCAGCGTCAGCTCTGGCCTGGCGGGAACGTGGCTGGGGGAGCTGCTGTCGAGACCTTCAGGGCCCTCCCCTGCGAAACGCCACCTGCTTCATGCCAGC